TCATGCTTTGGCTTTAGCTTTATCAGGGTTGTGGGAGTTAACAGTAACGATACAATCTTTCGTGACCAGCAGACGAATGATCAGATCTTTAACAGTTGTGAGGTCTACTCTGAGGTTTGTTTCCCAGTCTGTATTGTAGAGAAGATACACAAGACTTACAGCTGATTTCGTTCCAGCATAAGTAAATTACAATTGGGCAGAGACAAGTTATACTCTTGGAGGAAAGAATTTCCTAAGGAGAAACATATAATGGAAGGGGGAAGACTCCCCAAAATTAAATATAGGGCTATCATATATAATGTAGAAAGCAAGAGAACTTTGTGATATTTACATTTTTTGAACATTTCAGTAAGCCTTTTTTCATCTGCATTCTATTTCTGTGTTTCACTATTGTTTTAATCCTCAGCAGGACATTTAAATAAAGAATGTTAGCATCTGCAGTCATCATTTACATGTATTATTTTGCCTTAGACAGTATTGGCTAGTATCTTAAATGCTTACATAATGTTTTTTACATTTTAACCCTTTCAGGGTCGGTGCCATAATATTATGGCTTTGAAGCCAGTGTCTGTCCTGTAATATGCCAAAATTCTAGCTGCTTTAAATCTTCCAGGAGAAAGCTGATAGGCCTTCATATGAGAGAATTGGTCTGCATGGTCAGTGTGTGCAGTATAAAAAAGAATCCTACATCAAGCAATGCATAATGAGAAAAAGAACACTGCGATCATGTTTTTAGTTTAACCTGTAAACGGTCCAAATGTATTTATACATCCTCTCGTGCAGCGCCCCGAATATTTTGAAAAAAAAAAAAATTATAGAAATAAAGAGCACATTTTTCTAAGTGTTATAGGATAAAGAACAAAATTTAGGGTCAGTACTTACTAAGATATGAGGTCAGGAAGTTGGCACTGGATGCTCACCTGACAGCAACATCGGGTCCTGCCGCGTGCAGAAGTGTTGCCGATATAACCCTTTTTCTTGTTTATATATTTTATACAATTTTTATGTTCTGATAATTACAGTTTATAGTAGTTCTTGTGATTTAATAGCCAGTCTTTGTTCTGACACTAATATTAGGTATTGAAATTGTACTCAGATTGTGACAAACACACTGACAGGTGGACATTTACACCTGCCTTGGTCATTTACTATTGTCTAGGAATAGTATATATGAAGTAGAAGTATTCATAGGTCCCAGCAATGTTTTAGACATGCTGGAGTATATATGAAACTTCTTGAAGCATCGTGTTTATGATGAGTGTCACTTACCTGCTGACAGGGTAAGCAGTGGAGTGACATTTGATGATAGTGCATAGTAACAATAATAGTAATAATGATAATGATAGTGCATAATAATAATGAGTTCCTTTATCACTCCGCTGATGACAGTGGTGACATTTGCTGAGCGCTGTCTTATCTCATCACTCCGCTGATGACAGTGATGACATTTGCTGAGCGCCATCTTATCTTATCACTCCGCTGATGACAGTGGTGGCATTTGATGAGCGTACACTGCCTTGCTTTATTTGTTTTCGCTGTTACACATGAACATGTCTGTCTGTCTAGCTCTCTGTCTGTGTGTCTGTCTTTCTGTCTGCCTGTGTCTCCCTCTTGGTCTGCTTGTCTCTCTTCTCTCAGAGAGTTGCTCATGAACCAACTGGTATTACACACGATCACTATCTACAAGCACAGTATAGCACTTCGTCTGGATTTTTTGGGTTATCCTAGGTAATTTACACTATGTATAATTGTATTTATGTATGTGTTCCTGTGAGATAGAGACAGAGAGATAGACAGAGATAGATACAGACAGATGGAGATAGAGACAGCCAATCAGCCAGTCAGGTGGCCAGCCAGCCTGCCGAACACGTTTACACATTCTGGAATTGTTTCTTTTTACTTAGGGCATAGGTTATAGGACGTTCTGGCAGGATGATTACCAGTGGTACCAAAATTGAAAAGGTGTTGCACAAATGTTGCACATGGGTTATTATCAAAGTTTTTTATATTTCCACGACCACTGTGGCCACATCCACCTCAAAGCCACTAAACTTGGGGTCAACATCACTTTCCTCATAAAAGGGAGTGTTAATACAACACGACGTCAGTGAATCCTTGATTTTTTCTGCGCTGTTTGCTCTAGCTGGTGCTCAATTGAACTGGTGCTCCCACAAGGTACTAAGTGGTCCCAGATTTTTTTAATACTGTGCACACCAAGTGGTAAGACCCATTCTATTCTTACCAGGCATCTCAGGCCAATCGTGCCAAATTTAGAGGCAGGAAAAATAAAACGTAAATATATGTTTGGGGCGCTAGTGGTAAGAACATATAGTACAGGAAGGCCCCGCTTTACGGCGTTTCACTTTATGGCGTTCCGCTAATACGGACATTTCAAATTATGACCAAAACTCGCTATACGGCTCCCCCCACCTGACTTTCTAATACAGTCACCATGCCCCACCCTGTTTGTTTACATTCTCCATGAGCTCAGTAAGCACTAAGTCTCTCCATTTTGTCTGGAAACTCCAAAATTTCAAATGTTTTTAAAAGTTATTTCATATTTTATATATACTCTGATAATTATACTTATGTATACCTGTACCTAAATAAACCTTACATACGTGTGGCATGCGGGAAAAATTTAAAAATTGGGTAAGGGGCTTATGTCCCCAAAAAAGTATTTTTGTAATGAAATTAAAAAATCATCGAGTCATTTAAATGTCGTATATTCTTTAAATTTTCACATTTTCTTTAAATTTCCACCCTTTGTTTTTTTTTTTAAAAAATTATATAATAAAAAACGATGCATAACATTTTAAAATAAGAAAAAATTCCCCCCACAGGGGGGAATAAATAAACATAAATGGGGATGGGGTTTGCAAAACAAACCTTGCACAAAGTAAACCCCATTTTTAAAATGATAATAATAAAAAACAATATTTCACCCGGTTCTTTAAATTTGTCGTATTTAGGGTAATATACACTTTTAATTAATCCATCCATGATATTTTTTTTCAAAAAATTTTATAATAAACACGATCATAACTTTAAAAAGATAAATACACCCCACAATAGAATAAATAAAAATAAATTAGATTTTGCGGAGCCCCAAAACTTGACAAGTGACCCCAAAGAATTTTAAAAAATTTTTTTTAACAACAAAAAGAGAAAATGTGTTTTTTAAGGGGGTTTAATTTTAAAATTTTTTCCTTTTCCTTATGTATTTTTTTTCAAATTTATTTAAAAAACTGTTAAAATGATTTTAATTAACCCCCAATTAAAAATAAATAAACCCAAATAAAGTGTGGGGACTTTTTTCCCTTGCCCCAAGGGGTTCATTTTTTTTCTCAAAAGGAAATTTTTACTGGGGGAAATGGGGAGGTGTTTTTTTCTTTAAAAAAATTAAATTTTACCTTTCAATGTAGAGGAAACCCGGTAACCCAAAAAAAATGTTTAACCTTGTTACCACCCCCAAAAAAAGATTTACAAATTTTTTTTTTCCCGGTTTTTTGGTTTTAAAAAAAATTTTTTCCGGGGTTCCGCCTGGTTTGTTTCCATAACTCTGCGCCCGCCCCTTCATGTACTCATTCTTTCTCTCTTTTCTTTTTTTCGTTTTTTCATTTTTTTACTCCTGACCCTAAATTAAAACTTCAAATATTTTTTGGTAAGTAAAGAGTGAAATGTTTATACTTTTATCGCTCTGGGGTGTTAAATTCAAGATTTGTATGTGGGGTGGGGTGGCCCGGTAAAGGGAGGGCCCGGCTTTACATTCCCTACCCCACTTGATTTTTTTACAATTTAAAACTACTTTTCTCACCCCAGATTAAGGGCTTTTAAATATTTTTAAAGGGAAGGGGATATTGGGGCACTATGTGTGTATTGTACTTTTTTATTTTTTTGATGCCCGGTTCTATTGCTAAATTAATTATGTTTGTAAAATTGTTATCTAGTGTTTGTATGCATTTTAGTGGAAAAAAAAAAAAAGGGTGTTTCCCCTTTTTCCCGGGGGTTTTTGCTTTGGCGGGGAGCCTGGGAAAATAACCTTTCCCTATAAGTGGGGGGCCCCCCTGTTTTACCCTTTGGAATGTTTACGGGCTAAAACAGTTGGGTGTTGTGTATTTTTAAAATGGTTGAAAAATTTTTTATGAAATCGGCCAAAATTTCCCAAATTTTTGGGCCCCTTTTTTTTGGGGGAGTTGAAATAAGTTTAGGGCAGTTTCCTTTTACTCATTGACGACTAAAAAGGAAAAAAAGTTTATTCAGGTATAACAAATACAGTTACATAGAATTTTCATCAATACCCCCCCCCCCCCCCCCGTCTGTGTACCCCAAAAGGGCCCAGGGAAAAACCCCAAAAATTTAGTAAAGTGACTTATTTTCCGTTTCCTGGCTTGGGCTTTCCATATTGATTTTTTGGGGAAATATTTTTTTTTTCTTTTGTTTTTTTTTTGGGGCAATTTTATGGAAAGATGCTTTTAAAAGTACAAAAAAAATAAAAAGATGGAGGGTTAAAAAAGGGAGTTACCTTTTTCAGCCATTAGCCCCCTCTTTTTCGTTTTTTTTGTGTGGTTTTTTTTTGGTTGTATTCTCCCTTTTTTGGATCATTTTATTGAATTTGGAAAAATATATTACCCGGAAAAAAAAAGACATGATTTTAATTGTTTCTGAAAAAAAAGGGACTTTAAATTGAAGGGTCAAAATAGGGAAAAAGTTTGTTTTTGCCCATGTTAATGAACTTTGTGTTAAAACAAGTGAAATTTTAACCTAAAGACTCTGTAATCCGGCAAAAATCAGTAATCCCGGGACACTAAAGGCCCCGTGTTTAGGATTTGTGGGGAGGACCCGTATTTTTTAAATTTTAAACTTAGAAAAATAATTTGGGTTTTTGAAAATATTTCTGCATAGGGGGCCGAGAGTTTGGGAATTTCCCGTTGTACGGGCAGCAGCCTCGATTTAAAACCTCTGGGGGCTAAATCTAACGGGAGTCCACCGGGGGACATCACCAGTCCTCATCTCTCCAAGACTCGATACCGGTAAGTTCTACAATTGAAATATTATTTTCTTAGTTTTGTAAGTTAAGCCCTATTGGATCCCTGAAGATTCAGGTACACAAGCATCAGATGCATCACTCGGGTGTCAGATGCATCACCCAAATGTCAAATGGATCACCCAAGTGTCAGAGAGATCACCCAGGTGTCAGATTTATATTTAAAGCAGATAGGAAGATAAATGTTATAAATTTAATATTACCTATTGCTTCAATTATCCAAGTTTTAACATATAAACTGGTAGTGTTTTACAGTCAGCTCTCCTGTCAAGCTTTATAGAGTGCTTACTGTACTACATTTGAGTGGTCATCTGGGCTCAGTTTTGACTTCCATAAGAAGCACATTTGAACAGTCTATTTTTTTCCATTGTGTAATCTCAAAAGTGTAATCAAATATCTGTTAAATCTTCCATTGTGTGGTGAGCCAGCAAACACATGGCATGAGTCCATTACTCATTCTTATCTCAGTGTATTAACTATGTCCAGACCTCTGCTTCAGACACGTGAAGCTAGTGTACTATTTTACTGTATACCAACAATAATGTGCACTGGTAGTATCAGCATGCCTGGTGGGCCTTGCAGATTAGGATCAAGTTATACAGGTTTCGATTTATGTGGGTGCTTGGCCCTCCTTCAACAGAAATTGGTACTTTGAGACAAATCTGTGTTAGTTGAGGATTGGGCACGTGCATCTCGCCCAATGCCACTTGTTTTCAGCTCCTGTCACCCTCAGTGTTGCATGCAATGTGCAACAGACTATGGAATATACTTCAAAAGTTTTCCCACAGCTAGGATCTTTCCAAGTCATATCAAATTGTAATAAACAGCTGTCATGAATAAAGAGAAAGATGGACAGAGGGCATGAACCGCTGTCCATAAATTGAGCGTCAGACTATCAATTTATTGACCACGGTTCGTGCCCCTTGTCTGTCCTTCTGTTTATTCTTGTTTTTTTATAATTACTGATGTGCCAGTAGGGATCTTTGGGAACTTTTAGGAGAGTCTTTTCATGTTTATAATATAGTGGTTTAACTGATGCTGGTTATTTTAACTTGTGATAGTATTTATTTGTATTGAGTGTTGGTGAATTGTTGCTATTCCTGTTTATTGTGTTCTTGTTTTATTGTGTGTGTTGTATATATTTTTTATGGATATGGGTGTTGAGTGACTTACTTGGTTGATGTGCTACTACACTTCTGCCAGCAGCAACAGCAGCAGCAGCATCAGAGTAGTAGGAACAGCAGCCCCACTGCTAGCATCATGGCAGTGACAACATTAAGAGCAGCATCTTCAGGCAAGGAGATATATATAGACAGTTCTCTTTACACATGCTGTCCCCTCTTTACCTATTAATAAATAGATACAGCTGGGTGTTAGTTTGCTTACACTGTCCACATTCACTTAGCAGCAGCAGCAACAGCAGCAGCAGCAACAGCAACAGCAGCAGCAGCAGCAGCATTGCTACCATCAACAAAGAATCTACAGCACTGTCAGAAGCAGTGCTGCTCATTACAGGAGCAACATCAGCACCACCACTTCCAGCATCAAAACATCATCAGCACCACTTTCAGCATCAAGGTTTTAGAAACAGCACTGCTACCACCATCAAAGCAACAAGAGCAACAGTAACAACAAGGTGACCTGCATGATATGGGAAATTCTCCTTACATGTAATGGAGCTGTTCACCTGGCAGTAAATAGGTACCTGGTTGTTAGTATTCTTATACTCACTGCCATGCTCACCTATCAAAAATAGTGGTCTTCACGACCACTAACAACATTGCCAACTTCAAGAGCAGTACTAAAGATACTGCCTAGTGAGGAAGAGAAACTTGGTACAGTGAATATTTTTCTCAACTCTTTTGCTAAACAGTTTATTGAATTGTTGCCACTGGTGGGCCCAGCCCATCTCTGATACCATCACCAACTGCTGCACCTCACCTTCGACTCCTGTGTATTAGTCTCCATCTTCATGCCTCTGTTTTAGGCTCAGGGAAGGAGCTGCTGATAGACTGAACAGCTCATATCTATCTCTCCACTTCATCCCTGGTCTCCAATATAAAAGTCATCTCTGTATTTGACTGACGAAGTCTGCTGCACAGGCTTCAGTAATAAAGCTAGCCAAGTGTTGCATGTGTCTTATTCAGTATCAACACTTCAGTAATAAAGCTAGGCAAGTGTTACATGTCTTAGTATTGTGTACCATTAATATAATGAGCTAAGAACTGCAACACAGAGTTACAGAAATGTGTAAATAATTCTATGTTAATTTATCATTTAGAGATGTGTAAGGCTGTCATCATATTTACACCTCCTTTGTGGGCTGTTAAACTTTGTGATCTCTTGCATTTTTACCATTCTTTTGCATTATTTTACATTCTTTTGCAGGCTAATGCCCTTCTTTTGCAGGCTAATACAGTGGACCCCTCCTTACGAGCGCATTGCGTTATGTTAAATCCGCCATACGAAGCATTTGAACACAAAAATTTTGCCTCGCCTCACATGATTCGTCTGGGACGCATCCCGCGTGGCCTCAGCTGCCCCATGTGTGCCAGTGTTTACAAGCCAGCCAGTGCGGTCGTATCTAAGCATACATTCGGTACATTTCATATTATCACAGTGATTTTAGTGCTTGTAGCTGCAAAATAAGTCACCATGGGCCCCAAGAAAGCTTCTAGTGCCAACCCTGTGGTAAAAAGGGTGAAAATAACTATGGAAATGAAGAAAGAGATAATAGCTAAGTATGAAAGTGGAGTGCGTGTCTCGGAGCTGGCCAGGGTGTATACCAAACCCCAATCAACCATTGTCAGCATAGTTGCTGATCCCTGTGTTATATAGCATAGCATATAGTATCATCCATGTGCTTTAGATAGGAGATCCCTTTTAGGCCTGTGACTATTGTGTGACGTCATGGGATGCGCATGTGCACGTTCGTACCTCTGCCCCGGTCTCAGACGGCGTGTAGACCTAGACAGGCTAAGACAGGCAGAGGCTGGGCTCCACGTTCATCATCACAGTCTGACAATATATGTTACCATCCAACAAGTGTGTCTACCTTCAACCCTCGATATCTCCATTTAAGAACCCCTATGATAAATGGTGGCAGCGGTGGGATAGATTGATCCAGCGGAGTGGATGAGGTCTCGTACTACGATACCATCGCTACTATCTTGGCCAACAAAATGGCAATCAAGGAAGCTGTTCTTGCAAAAGATGCAAGCTTGTTTTCGAAACAGAGATCGCAAGTACTCGAAGATGTTGAGAGACTGTTATTGGTGTGGATAAATGAAAAACAGATAGCAGGAGAGAGCAACTCTCAAGCGATCATATGTGAAAATGCTAGGAAGTTGCATGACGATTTAATTAGAAAAATGCCTGCAACTAGTGGTGATGTCAGTGAATTTAAGGCCAGCAAAGGTTGGTTTGAGAGATTTAAGAATCGTAGTGGAATACATAGTGTGATAAGGCATGGTGAGGCTGCCAGTTTGGACCAAAAAGCGGCTGAAAAATATGTGCAGGAATTCAAGGAGTACATAGACAGTGAAGAATTTAAACCTGAATTTAAACCTGCGACAAAACAGGCCTGTTTTGGAAGAAAATGCCAAGCAGGACCTACATTACTCAGGAGGAAAAGGTACTCTCAGGACATAAGCCTATGAAAGACAGGCTTACTCTTTTGATGTGTGCTAATGCTAGTGGTGATTGCAAAGTGAAGCCTTTATTGGTGCATCACTCTGAAACTCTCAGAGCGTTCAGGCAAAACAATGTCATCAAGGCTAATTTGTGTGTGCTGTGGAGGGCAAACAGTAAGGCATGGGTCACTAGGGACTTCTTCTATGACTGGTTACACCATGCATTTGCCCCCACTGTGAAAAATTACCTAATGGAAAAGAAATTGGACCTTAAGTGCCTCCTGGTATTAGACAGTGCTCCTGGTCATCCTTCAGACTTGGCAGAGCGACTTTCTAGGGACATGAGCTTCATGAAGGTCAAGTTATTGCCTCCTAATACCACTCCTCTCCTGCAACCCATAGACCAGCAGGTCATTTCAAACTTCAAAAAACTCTACACAAAAGCTATGTTTAAAAAGTGCTTTGAAGTGACCTCAGACACTCGATTGACTCTAAGAGAGTTTTGGAAAGATCACTTTAGCATCCTCTGTTGTGTGAACCTTATAGGTAAGACTTGGGAGGGAGTGACTAAGAGGACCTTGAACTCTGCTTTGAAGAAACTGAGGCCACAATGTGTAGAAGAAAGGGATTTTGAAGGGTTTGAGGCTAACCCTGAGAAGCCTATGCCAGTTGAAGAATCCATTGTGGCATTGGGGAAGTCCTTGGGATTGGAGGTTTGTGGGGAGGATGTCGAAGAGTTGGTGGAGGAGGACAATGAAGAACTAACCACTGAAGAGCTGCAAGATCATCTTCAACAGCAAGAGGCCAATCCTGAGGAAACTGCTTCAGAGGAGGGGAGAGAGAAATTGAGGAAGTTGCCTACTTCAAAGATTAAGGAAATGTGTCCAAAGTGGGTTGAACTGCAAACCTTTGTGGATGAAAATCACCCTCACACCGCTACTGCAAGCTGTGCTTGTGACTATTACAGTGACAATGTTATGGCCCATTTTAGGAAAGTCTTAAATTAACGGGAGGTACAGACCTCTTTGGACAGATTTGTTGTGCGACAGAGGTCCAGTGACTCTCAAGCTGGTCCTAGCGGCATTAAAAGAAGAAGGGAAGTAACCCCGGAAAAGGACTTGATACCTCAAGTCCTAATGGAAGGGGATTCCCCTTCTAAACAATAACAACTTCCACTCTCCCCTCCTCCCATCCCATCAATCATCACCAGATCTTCAATAAAGGTAAGTGTCATGTATTGTATTCTTAGTAGAGTATTAATTGTGCATGTCTTCTTAAGTTTGTGTGTATTAAAATTAATATTTCATGTGGTAAAAAAAAATTTTATTCTTACTTTGTGGTGTCTTGCACGGAT